TTTATGGTGATGCTGATATTATTTCCAAAAGAAATGCTTTGGTAATGGTCTCCCTTCGCAGGCTCGGAGATGGCTAAGCTGCTTAGAAACTTGCAGCGCACAGGGATGGGTCATAGCCACGCTGTACATCTGGCAGTGAGGCCCGGGATTCCACACATCCCTCACTTCCAGCTGGTTTGCTGTTACTCCACGGAGTTACTGCATGAACCTTGCTCCCGTGGGGCGGCAGGCCACGCTGAATTATTTAGAATGTCGCAGAGGAGCCAACGAGAGCTGCCTGGAGATGCTGCTTCCATGATGAAACCCGAAATCTCCGATGGCAGAAAGAAACACCACACTTAACTAGGTCACGTTCAGTCTCACGCCACCTTTATCACTGCCAGTCAATGAGATCTGGAGTGGGCCATGGGACGCATGGGTGGAAGTTTGAATGTGAGGTGCATGGATTAAATTCTTACTGCAGCGTTTCCAGCAAGGGTGGCATTGTCTGATGCGCTGAATAGCTAACCCATGGTCCTCCTTGATCCCATTTACATGGAAACAAGCTCTGCTCACTCACCTCTCCCAAACCCACATTGTGGTTCAAGTGAAATGCACACGATTGTGGCGAGTGGTGATATGTTTATGTCCTTAAGCCATTCATATATTCCTATATTTACATCCAAACGTCCATAAACCTGTGGGTAGTGGGGGGAAGTAACTCGTTTCCCCACAAGAGACGGTCCCTTACCCCAGATCCAAATTTAGTCGCTCAGCTAGATTATAAAATAAAGAGGCGAACTGTGAAAGCTTGTCATTTTGCTGCTCAGCGTTTCTGACCATGAAAAACAGTTTCATGGTTCAATAGTTCCTAAATAACTTGTAAAATGTCAACTTTGAAATAAGCAGAAAGGAGCATGGAGGTACAGTCACACCTATAAATAAAGGAAAGGGCTGTTGAGAAACATCAAAATATTAGAATATTTACCACAGGGGTAGGAAATAACCTGCCTATTAAGTTCCTCCATGGACTTATTCAGTGTTGAGTGTAATCAAAGCGTTCCTTTCTGCTGGAATGCAGTCCGGCCCGTCCTCACTGCGTCCTGAAGAGCAAGCTTTGCTGATGCTTAGCCCACCTTTCCCGACTCTGGTTCAATCCCACTCGTAATCCGAGAGTCCAGAAGTACGATTTTCTTTTTCCAATCCAATGAGTGCCTACCTCCATTTAGCTTTACCATGCCATGGCTCTCCAGTTTACTGCAGTTCTGCAAATATAGAAATGACTTCAGGCATTTGAATTCTCACAGGCTTAGAAAACATGTCTGGAAGCCACCCACTGCCTGGCCCGTGGACCTGGATGCATAGGACAATCAGCGCATCTAGGAGTCCAAAGCTGAGGGCTCAGGGAGAAACAGTAGCGAGTACACAGGCCCATCACCCCACCTTCCAGGCCACCTTGCTTCCCTAGCATCTTTCCACTGATTGCATAAGATAGGCCGTCCCCTTTTCCCAATTCTTTTTTTTTTTACTTTCTTCTAAATGATGAAAGAAATTTTTGGCTTTTAAGTTGATTTTGTGAAAAAGTTTTTTCCTCCCTCAAAATGGAAATACCGTGGGCTCTGAAAGGTCCTTGTCTCCCGGCTACGGTGACGATGGCCAGCTCAGGCACAGCCTACAGTCCCTGACCCCTGATCTGAAAAGGTTTTTAGCTCCAGTGTAATCAGCCCTTTCAGCTTCACCTGGGAAGACTCAGCTTTGGTGAAATCCCCGAAGAGCCCAGAATTTCACAACTGGAGGGGCAAAAGTCGAGTGAGGTTATAATGAGGCATCTGCCTCCAAACTAGGCTCGTGACTTGGACAGCAGAGACTGTCCCCCTGTTGAAAGTGAAGTCTAAAACAGCAAGTCACCATGAAGACTGCAAAGGGGTCTTCCTCTCTGTGCGGTTTGACAAGACAGAAACATCTCCGAATGCGCTGTATGAGTGGATGAGTTTCTCTAGGACAAGAATGATAGATGCTCCCAGCTCTGTGGACAGTGGGTTCTTGAGGAGGTCATGAGGAATCAACACCTTTCCTTTGTCAGAAAATCTGACTCAGATCTATGGGACAAAGCAATTGTCGCTGCCGCCGGCAATGGCCTAGAGGGGTACGCGTGTTGGAGAGTGTGTGTTTTAATGGCCATACTGGACTGTCAGGGTATTTTGACCTGTAAGCAGAGAGAGAGTTGAAAGGTATCTCCATCCCCATCACTGACCCACTCAGCCTTTTTAAATAGATCCACTTAAGCTACTGCTGTTCTCCGAGCCATTAGGACTTATTTAAGGGGTGAATTTTCAGGAGATTACATATCACTCCCACTAAAGCGCAGTGAAATTGCTCATATGACGTACCCTACAAAGCGTTATGAATTCTGCATCGGAGCTAAGTAGAAAAGTGAGCTTGCTTGGAATAAAGATCTTTTTAGAGGACTACAAGAATTACTTTTGGGAAATTTGATTTAGAACGATGGGGTAGATGCCATTACCTTTGAAATGACTGTGTTTGGAATGTGTTCCGGGTGTTAAGCTGCACTTTGCAGTGGCTGTGATGTTAACCTCTTTGTCACCATTGCCAAGGCGCAGTGGAAAGAGCGCTTTGAAAGGGCACGAGGGAGGCTCAGCCGGCAACGTGCTGTTCATCTTTTGCTAAGAGTCGCACCAGCTCTCAGAAAATGCAGAAATAAACCAAGAAGAGTCCTTTGCTTAGCTGCTGCATAGCCAACCAGCCGGAGGTCTCTTGTAGACACATGGGCACCACAGTCAATACATCAGCAATATCAAACTGCAGCCACTACCCAGCCTCCCTAAGGAATAAGATGGAGTGTCCTGAAAAGCACGATTTGTAAAAGACGTAGCTCCAACCTGATGTCTGCCTCATCAATCCTTAATGATTTTGATTCTTAACTTGACTTAGTGGGACATATTTGTAGCTTTTAAATTAAACCTATTTTTTTGCGGTAGGGTTTAAGGATGCAGCTTTGTGAAAGACAATGCTTTCCTAGGTTATCCTGGTTTAGAGGTGGAAAGGAGGGGTATACCTAGTAGCTCCCCAGAAGAGAACCTGTTTCCATTATTCACCTTTCTCGACGAGGAGAAATGGCTTAGTGCTTGCTTAGCATGTGTGAAGCCCTGGGTCCAATCCTCAGCGTTGACTACTTCAGAATCAAACCAGCCTTTGACCTCAGCCTCCCAAGTGCTAAGAAGATGATAGGAATGTACCACTGTGCCCAACTCATGCTCCCCTTTCTCAAAATGAGACTCATCAAGTTGGAGAGTGCCTGTGTGGACAAACATGTACCTCAGTGTCAGTACAGCCCAGCAAGACTGTGAGGGAGCTGTTTAGAGTCACTGAGATGCAAACAGGATGCAAACTTCCTCAGGTAGTGAAGAATGGAACTTGGTCTATTTAAAGCTTAGCCCCAATTGCCTATTACCCCTCATAGGTCATAAATATATAATCGTGAATTAACATGTTAATTTGATACCCAACACAGCCACAGAGGTGGGCTTTATTGACAAGAAAACTGAGGTCTTATGTGAAGTGAGTTACCCAAGGTCACATAGAAAAGTCAGAGCAGAATTTTATCAACCCGGAACCACACACTCACTTCCTGTTATCTGAGGGAGGACAGCAGCCCTCCTCCCAGCAGGCAGTACTCATTGGTACCCACAAGGCATCCCAGGCGTGCCGGAACTGTACACATTTCTGAGATCCTCATATGGAGTTCAGAAAGAAGTGGCCCATACCCGTGGGTAGTGGTGACACAGCCCAGAGGCTTTGTCTTGGCTGAGTGCTCTAGCTTTGCTATGGGGGTCACACAGTGTGTGCCAGGGAACTCTACTCTAGGCCTCTAGCACGGGGTGTTTCCACACCTCCATCCCACAACCCAAGGGAAACCTTTGTTTGCTTTCCGTAAGACTCGGGTGTCTCAGTGCAGTCTATGCTGTTACAAGGGAATGCACAGACTGAACAATTTATAAAGAACAGAAATATGGCTCATAACTTTAGACTCTAGGAAATCCAGGATTAACGTGCTGGTAAGTTTGGGGTCAGATAAGAGTCTAATCTTTTCTTCTAGTGCCTTGAATGTTAAGTCTTCTAGCAGGGAGGGACCCTGCATCTTCTATGGCAGAAGAACAAAGTAGCGCCCACTTAGTGGCATCATAGCTCAGATCTTCAGTCTATGAATGGAGAGGTTTGCAGTCAAACATTGAACGGTGTAAGTTAACTCGCCACCAACTGCTAGGTGACCCAAAGTTGAGTCTTGGATACATCTGTTTAGATGAAGAAGCTGTGTTACAAATTTACTGAGAAGATGTCGTGCAAATAGGGTCAGAATAATAACCATACAGGCGACAAATAAAATAAAACAAAAATCCCACACAGAAATACTCTAAAAACCCAAGGAGCAAAAATGAGAAAACCCAGTGATTCAGAAAGAATCAACATGGAGGCCAAGGGAAGAAAGTCCCTGAGTTACCATGGCCTCTCACATTGCCTGAACTTTTGTTTTGGAGGCTGTTGGCTCTTGGGGGCGTTTTGGGTCCTTACCTTCAAACTGTTGGAAATCATTAAGGCCCACCTTGTTTCTCCCCAACATTGCTGCAGTGGTTTGGGTACACAGTTTACTTGCAGAGGGCAGCCTCACAGTGGTCGTGGTGAGCAGAAGGTCCAGGCGGAAACAGGGCTCTAACAAGAGAAAGTACCAAGTGTTCCATCGCCACCAGATGACACTCATGAAAAAAGCATCTTGGGACCTGTCCCTGCGACATGAACCCTGACGTTGACAACCTGATAGTCACTGGATCACTCTGTCCCGGTATCTCTTTTTAAAACTCCCCCCAGCCAGATCCTTGAATGGAAGGGAGCAATCTTTCTCTAGTGTTGTATAAATGTGTAATTAGCCTCGTGTTTATCACCATTGGGATCATCAGGCCTGGGGGCCCAGTTTAATCTGGATTCTGTTCTCTTCTCAATGTCAGCCTCTTTCTGGACCAGTACAGAGCCAGCCTTATTGATGCAATAAAGAGATTACTCCAGCCCACAGTAAGTATGTTTTCTTTTCTCCGGAATACGGGCTCCAGAATAATTAGTCTGCACACAAAGATGGGGAGAGTAATGGAATGGCAGGATTAATGTCATGTAATACTTTAATACTTATTATGTCCAACTTCAATTGGGTCTTCTGATCTATCAGGTTCTTTCCTAATCATAAGTAGGAAACTTCTTACCCTTGGCCTTCTGATAAGGAACACTGTGGGTAGTAAAATAAATGAAACCGCTTCAAAGATAGTGGGAGATTATTTTTCATCAAAGAATTTCTGGAGTCTTTCCCTTTGATAACAATATCTTCATAATAAAGTAGAATTATGATATTGAAATTTTTCTGTTGACTTCTGTCATTTTAAATCCCTTCAGTGGTAACCTTTGTCATTGAGTATTTGCTGCGTAAGAATACTTTTTTCTTTTTATTTCTGTTTATATCAAAGGAAAAAAGGACTTCCAGATGAATCTGTGTATTAAAAGTTCTTTGCTTTAAAAGGAAGCCATTATTTACATATTATAAATATTAGGTCACAATGAAGCCAAGCATGGCATAAAATATTGTGCACATTTTTACATTTATATACCCATTTATGCCTGTGAGTAAATTACAGAGTTTGTATCCACTCTTATTTTGTTAGAGCTGTTATACTAGGCTAGGAGGTCCTGGAGACTAAACGGAGAGTTAATAGACATCTATTTAAAGTAAGAAAACGAGTTTAAAGCTCATGCATTAAAAAAAAATCTTGTAAGTATGTAAGACTCTTTGCTGTGCCACAGGAATTTAAAATAGGCTAATAGCCTTAGTGTAATCGACGATAAGAACTCGCAGTAATCTGATATGACTGCTCTGTGTGTGTGTGCTTGTGTGTATGTGTGTGCACGCGCGTGCACATGTGTGTGTGTGTGCGTGTGTGTTTTCTAAAGTTTTGTTTCTTAGGTCTTTTGTGAAAGGTCTCAGCTTGTGACCTCGGTGAGACTCAGAGACTAACACCTTTCAATCTTCCTTTTATATCTTTCTTACGCCGAAGGTTCCTGGAGCAATTTGATAATCGTCCATTGCCTTACACTGTTGCTTTTTATTTTGTTATCTCTCTGTAGTTCTGAAACTTTAAATAGGCCTCTCGGAGGAGTAACGGCAGCGTTGTAAGTGGCAATCAATTCGATTAAATTGGCCTTCTCGATTCTGCTCGTGAAGTGGGGAGTAGGTCTGGAGGCAAGGAAGGGCATGTGCCAAGCTGCTGCTGGCTGCTGCCACACGGAAGAGGCCGCCCAAGTTGAGGGCAGCAGAAGGAATACCGAGCCTCTCCTGGGCCTCTTCATCTCTCCTGATAGCCTTGGAGGATGCCTGCAAGCATTTGCAAGACCAGGATTCTCAGGGAGGGCACGGAGATGCTCGGCTGTGAAGGCTCTATGAAAATGTCTCATACATAAACACAATACTTTCAAGGACTCCCGGATCTCACACCGCACAAACAGTACTTCACTCCTCACCAACACCCCTTCAAAGCCTATTGGTGGTAAATACCCCATTTCACAGCAGATTTGCATGATTTACAATAGGAAACTGCCCAGGCTATGAATAGACCTAAATGCAGATTGGACTGGAATCTCTCAGGCTCTCTGTACCGGCTGTTAAACCCTGAACCATGCCCATCCCTGTCTGAAGTGGGGCTCCGCACACCAGCCCCCTCTGAGCCAGGACAGCCGCCCACTGACTGACAGCCAGTCCTTAACCTTACAGCAGAGAAGGACCGGGCCAAGCCCTGGAGCCGTGACACTTCCTTATGCTACCTGCTGAGGCCAAACCCAGCCTGCAGCATTAGAAGTGGGCTTAGGGCGCATACCTAGGCTCCTTGTAGGATTGCAGACACTCAAGGCCACTGAGTGTTCTAGAACTATCAGAGAGGAAGTCTGACTAATGAATAGCATATGGACTTATTGAAATTGCCACTCAGAATCTCAGATCTGTGGAGGTAGGGGAGCACCCTGGACTTCTCTCCCTTAGATCCTAGCAGGGTCACGTGGACTAGGCAATCAAGAGGGTTCCCACTACTGTATGGGAACGAACCCTCTGGCTGGTTCTTATACTCCAAAAGGACTTCCTCCACTGAGTGGACAGTTGTAGTTCAAGGCTAAGATCGCATGCAATGACTACATTACAGTTAAAACCAGGCATTGGCTTCTTTTAAGTCGAGACAATTCCTCCGTGGTTCTGTGGCCCAGGGTCTGAAGATGAAGATACAAGTGTCCGCAAGGAAGTAACATAGGTGCTGCACTGGGGGATCCTTAGTGTTTGGTGGGTTTTATAGGATACTGCAAGTTCTCAGGGTCTGAGCAAGGGTCATCACATGCTTCAAGTTCCCAAAAAGATCTAGAAGAGAAGGCATTAAAACAAACAAACAAACAAACAAGTCGGAGCTCACTAGCCATCAGACTGATGATCTTCACCTTTAAAAGGCAGCTATGGGATGTGGTGGCACATGCCTATAATCCCAGCATTCAGGAGGTCACAGGATTATGAGTTCGAGGGCAGCCTGGACTCTATGGCAAGTTCAAAGCCTGCCTAGACTACACAACAAGACAGTACATCTCTGTAATGACAGCTGGCTTTTGCTATTGCTCTATTAACTCGTTGAGGTTGCTATAGGAGATAGTGGTCCTAAGAAGAAATGGCAGGCTAACTGATGGTAGGCCAAGTTGTGGGGTCAGTGCCGCACTAACGGCTCTGAAGCCTCCTGTCATGGGCCATTTGCCTCCAACGGGGGTTGTGGGGGGGGGAGTAGGTTCCAGTTCACCCACACTCATATAGCAGCTCCGGGTCCTATATCCCAGGGTAGGCACAGTTAGGCTTTGGAAATGGACAGCATAGGTTCACATCTGGCCTCTGTCATTGGTGGTTTTATTCTCCAGAAACCTCAATTTCTCCCCAGTCTCTTCTCTACAAAATGAGAGAAGCTATTGCGGTGCGGTGCGGTGCGGTGCGGTGCGGTGCGGTGCGGTGCGGTGCGGTGCGGTGCTGTGTGGCGCATGCGCGTGCCGGTCTCCTTGCGGAAGACTTAGAGACTTTCTGACTACAGCAGGGACTAGGTACAGAAGGCGCTTTTCAAACCCATTGAGAAATGATGGCAGGGAGGAAGACTGTTTTCCTGATATGGACTTCAGGGATTTCTGTGTGTAGCCTGTCTGCGCCTGCTGCTTTTCTCTGTGGCCCCCAGCACAGCAAAACCTGATGGGTCCCAGGGGGGAGCGCCTACTGAGTGAATAGGACACCTTTTGTACATACAGTCTAGCTAGGTAGGAAGAGAGTCAGGGCCACATCAGTGAGAGTTAAATAATTGCAATGTGAAGGTCTGGGGGTCAGGCCCTGGGAAGGACCAAACTCTGATGTGGGAGTGTCATATATCAATCTGTTGATTTCATTGGTTAAGTTATAATAAACCAACTGCTTGGCCTCAGCTTAGAACATAGGTGGGAGGAGTAAACAGAATAGAATTCTGGGCAGAAGAGGAAGTGAGGTCAGACTCTGCTCTGCTCCCGGAGAGACTCGACAGCGCTGCGCTGGAACAGAGACACCATGATGGACGGAGGCTAGACTCTTCCCGGTAAGCGCACCTTGGGGTGCTTACACACATCATTAGAAATGGGCTAGTCCAGGTGCGAGAATTAGCCTGTAAGGGCTAGAGTTCATGGGCCAAGCAGTTCTTAAATGAATACAGTTTGTGTGTTGTTATTTCGGGCATAAGCTAGCCAAGCGGCCGTGGTGTTGGGGACGCAGCCCCGCCGCTCCTATTTCAACAAAACTCTATATATGAAGTGTCTTTCTTTACTAATTTCTAACGCAACCAAATCAGTACCTGGGCATCAGAGCGTCTAAAAACAAGTCAAACGGGCAAGGAGGGAGCCCTTCCCTGCTTTTCTCTTTTTACAATGGGGGAGTTATAAATGACAGGAAGCGGAAAGAGAGAGCCTGGCCTCTCAGGTGGGCCCCTGGCTTGTCCCAAGGGCAGCGTCAGATCCTAAGGCTGACCTCAGAGCCTGAAGAGTCACCACACCAGGTCCCAGATTCCACCAATAAATTAAAAAATAAAAAGCCACCATTCTGAAAGGGACAGTTTCTTCAACTCTAAAAAAACTGCTAGTGTACACAGCTCGCTTCTGTCAGAGCACTATGAGGAACTCTCTAGAAAAAAAATGAGATATTAAAAAAAAACCCTATCTTGAACCCCCCCCCAAAAAAAAACCCTGGAAACAGTAAATTTTACTCATCCCAAGAAGCAGCACCCCCGCTTCTCTTTCCCCTGCTGATAAGTGGTTTCTTGTTGCTAATGATTGATGGGGTGGCCGCTCATGGCTATGTTTCCCAAAGTCGGTGACAACAGCGATGTCCTATATCAGAAGACCAAAAGCAATTTAAAATCTGGCCATAGCAGCCTGCAAGTTGAACAGCAATGACAACCAGCAAATGACATCTGCTAATAGTCCTCTAAAGTGACTGTGTGTCCCAGAGGGGAGCCCGGGCTGCTAGAACTACAAGGATGCAGGCAGGACTGCAGTGCATACAGTGCCCCAGCCGGTTGTCACCTCCTTCCAACCGTCCACAGCTCAGAAATATCACTGTGGCCAGAGAGATGGTTTGGCAGGTAAAAGGGGCCTGTCACGCAAGCCTGCTGACCTGAGTTCAATCCCCTGAAACTACCATGGAAAGAGAAAACCAGAAAGTTGTCTTCTGACTCTGACCCCAACATGGGCACCCGCATACATGTGCTGGAGTGTGCACCCACAATAATAATAAAAATATAACAATAATTAATAGATAAGCCTTTATGTGTCACTGTGGAATTAATGTAACCTTTTTAAAAGCCAGGCCCTAGCAGTCACACAATCATGGGAGTCCTGCCTATGTCCAGGGAGCCCTACAGTTAGAGCCGCCAGCCTCCCATGTTAGGAAAGCAGTCTCTCCTTACTGACTGACTTCCTCATCTTTTTGTTAAATCTAACAC